GCGGATGGTTGTTTACCTGGCTGCCGGGCAGCAGAGTTCGAACTGCTGACCAGAGTGGTCAGGATGGGCATTATGGGACACCTCCTGGAGGACACTTACAGTGACACAACCAAGCACGGTGTGGTCACTGACACTGTTGCTAAAACTTTACGGCAAAAAAACCCTACTCCTCTCATCCAAGGCCACCCGGGGGGGGGGGGGCAAGTGGGGCAATTTGCCCCAGGCCCTGGGACCCGCAGGGGTCCGCACAAGAGTTTTTCGAGGCCCCTGGAGCAGGGTCCTTCACTCGCTCCCAGGGCCCCGGAAAACTCTTGCAGGGCCCAGCCCCCCGGAGCTTCGCCCGCTCAGGGTCTTCATGGGCAATTCAGTGGCTGGGGGTCCTTCCGCCCCAGGACCCACCGCCGAAGTGCCCTGAAGACCCGCGGCGGGGGGTCCTTCTGCCCCGGGACCCGCCGCCGAAGTGCCCTGAAGACCCGTGTATATGGCACGAACACTTCCCTTTCTTTATGGAAACTACCTTGCCTGATGCATCCTAGGACTGCATTAGCCTTTTTCACGGCCGCATCACACTGGGGTCTCATAGTCATCCTGTGATCAACCAATACACCCAGGTCTTTCACCTCCTCTGTCGCTTCCAATTGATATGTCCCCAATTTATAGCACCATTTCTTGTTGTTAGTCCCTAAATGGATGATCTTGCACTTTGAACTATTAAATTTTATCCCATTTCTATTACTCCAGTTTTCAAGGTTGTCCAGATTTCGTGTATGATGTTCCCGTCCTCCTCCGTATTGGCAACACCTCCCAACTTTGTGTCAGCCGCAGATTTTATTAGCACACGCCCACTTTTTGTGCCAAGGTCAGGAATAAAAATGTGAAATAAGCTTGGTCCCAAGCTAAGTTCCCTGTAATCTGCGGAGCTGGACAGCAGCCTATTTAGCACCTCACACGTGTTCAAAGAACCCTTGCGGCCGTGATCTGCTGCAGCTGGGCAAAGGGCCACCTGAATGTAGCCCTGGCCAGACTTGCCGTTGCCAGAGTGCCCCTCCCCCAGCCCCAACTCAGCCACAGACCTGCTGCAGCTGGGCAAAGGGCCACCTGAATGTAGCCCTGGCCAGACTTGCCGTTGCCAGGGTGCCCCTCCCCCAGCCCCAACTCAGCCACAGACCTGCTGCATCTGGGGGATGGGT